TATACGATAATTTATACCTACTAGTATAATATGAGCATTTCAACGTTTAAATAACAATGAAATATGTGATTAATTTTAATGTTATACATATTTTATTACAGCTAGATACAATTATTATAACTTTACAACATTTATTACTTACTATTACTTTCAAGTGATCTATGCAAAATTAAATTATTTAGAAAATTATGTAATTATTTTAAACTAGATACCATAGAGCATAGATCACAATCGTTTTAAAGCGTAGCTTTAATTTCAGTCATTGAAAACTATTTCGAAAAAAAACAATGTAGTCTTATACATACGTACCTGCTGGCTTTTTATTCATCATTGTTAAATACTTATCTACTTCATCACACATTTCTTTTTTATTTTATTGCACAGGATAATATGTAGCAACATTAAATACATGAATGTCTGAACTGTAAATATTACATTGAGAAAGTTATGCAATAATTAAATTATTAATCCTTGTAACATGATAAATTATACACAAAAAACTTTATTAATTTTAAGTCTAGCATTAAATTTAAATACTTGATCAATTTTACTAGAAAAGTAGGAACTATTTGAGAATCTCTAGATTTTCAAAAAATAATAATAACGGTTGAAGGATATAATCAAATTTAATAATGTCTCAAATGACAATAATATATATACGAGCATTATTATCCCGTTTCACAAACGTATCACAATTCTCTTTTGAATTTAAGCAACGCAGAAAAATGAGTTTTATTTACTTCCAAAATTGTATTGTTATGGAGTTTCGAATAATTCCATTCAGTTTTCTTTCCTGTTTTTGATACGGCAATATGGTTACACTTAAAATAATAATAATAAGATCAGGTGCACACTGCACAATATGTATACAACGCGATAAAATTTGGAAATATACTTTTTATACACCACCGAAATTGTATTTGTACTACCATTTGTACACATGTTGAAAATACGGTGAGTATTAATATTTGATATACTTGAACGGTTTTTTGTTTCACCATTATTATTGGTATTTTATAATATTGTTTTCGTTTTATAAGAATGAATTTTGTTGTTCAATAATTTCAATATATTATTCCATTTTTTTTATTTTTTTATTTGATTTCCGAAACAAACTTATCTCCTGTACGTATGTATGCGATCATATAATGACGACGATCTATAGGTATTATAATCGCGGTCGACGTTTATATAACTTTCGTTTGCCTTATACGTTACTTATGGTCTTGTGAACAGTAATATTTTTTTCGGCTGTAATACTTTTTAACGAGAGTCTTAAATCGCTACGTTTGAAAAAATACCCTGCAATACATATTTGTGTTGTAATTTTAATAAAACGAATCTTTTTGTTCGGTAGACACGAGCGCGTGTTTCAAGCCGTCAAAATAAAAATGTGATACGCCAATACCTTCACGGATAAGACGAATGCGGTAACAATAATATTTTACTGGCTGAAAAATAATATTTCCACAAACTTTGAGAAATATTCATCATCACATTTTGTCCCGTAGAATACTATAACACGTCATATAATTATCCGCATTCTTGTACTTACTGATGCGTATGCAATATGTTAAAATTTCTGCAATAATTAACACGATGTATGAAACTATAAGAACACATTTGACCTGCACTTTGTCACTGCAGAGTAGCATTGTCCGCTGATTGTAGCTAAATAGGTGAATACCAAATATAAATTTAAAAATCAATAAAATCCTTTACCAAAAACTATTTTCGGTTTTATTATTTATATTACTTGCATATTTTACTCATGGGAAAAAATAAATCGGAGTATTTAGATAAAAACAAGTGTATACCTAAACGCACAGTTATTGTTATTCTCATTTACATAATATGTAAAAATAACCTCTCTAATATCCACGCTTATATTATATTTTTTAATTTATATTTTAACTACTATGTGATAAGTGTAGAAATTATCAGATCACATTTTTTACGAATTTGTTGGAAAGAAATTAAGTGAAGTGTTTATGTTACACAAAGTTATAGAATTGAACAATCCTAATAGGTCATTTTTGCCATTTTGAACACATCTACCGAACTTCAATTTTTCTTCGATAATTTTTGAAAATGTATGTGTCAATATATAAGGTTTTATTTCTTTATTATTAATATTCTGTTTGAATGAAAATAGTATCAAAACAAAATCCGTACGAACAAAATGTACAACATTACTCTTTGTCTTAATTATTAAAATGTAAAATAAAAAAAGATAAAATAAGATAAAAATAATAATAGGTTTAGTGTTAAAATTATTCATTAGTCATTACTTTTAAATGATCGATCGTCATGACCCCGAAATTGTGGGTTGCACAACCTTAGCAATCAACTTATAATCTATCCAATAGATTTCTTGGCTGTAAGATTATCTTGTTCATAAAATTGGAATATTCCCAAATTCTATTGAGACTTACTTCCTGCCATTGTGAATTTTGAAACTATTCGAAAATTCTGAGACATAAATAATTTTTGATTACTCCTTTTTTTAAAAATATTTATTCGATTTACTTATCATAATGAATAATATAGTGCAATATACAAATCTGTAGGAAATTTAAAATCGTCGGAATAAGAAAAATATTTAAATTACCATTAAATAATAATCATACTTTTTATAATTTTTTTGTTTTGAACGAACCATTGATTAATGTTTCATAATGTTGTTTTTTCATATTTTTCGTCCAAAACAATTATTTTTAATGCGAATGCTCAACAATTTTCAAGTAAGAAATCAATTAATTAAAATTGTATACAATTAGCCATGAATAGTTTGGTAGTACAAAACATTCTTGTCATGTTAGCTACGTCATAATTTCTACATTAAATTTAAAATCCCATAGAAAATATTTTACAGTTTTTGTAGAAACAATTTTTTTTCTAATTACAAATTGTTATTACTAAAATTAAAGTAAATTGAAATTTAGAAATAATCTATTTTGAATACATAATTATGTTATTTATACTCATTCCCCTGATTTTGCTCAATTAATACTCTTACACTGAGAATAAGTAAATTAACTTTAATGATTATTAAATAACTGTATTATTAAATATGTTTAAATAAATAAAATAAAAATGTTATAATAAATACATTTTTTAATTTTTTAATTAAGTTAGTTAGTTTGTTAAATAATTTATACAACATTTTGTTGTTGTTTTTTTCAACAGAGTTAAAATACTAATAAAATGCATTGTTGATAACTTGACAGCAGGTGCAGAAGTCATAGTTAATCAAAAAATAATAATACGTGTTAACTACGCTGCTATTTGTATTCCGTAAAAAGAGCTTTGATTATTTATATTTTCAAATATTACAACTTTTAAATTGTTATGAAATGTATATCAAAACAAAAACAAATACTCTTGCACATTTATGGTTTATGTTCCTGTTGCACTTTGTTCGCCGATTTTGGAAATGTGTGTGTAAATACTTAAAACAGTTATGAAGGATATTTCAGCTTGTACATACATATTTAAAATAGATTTAATGGAAATATGAGTTCAGAAATACAACGATTTCGAATAATACCTTATTGAACACGGAACTGCGTTTCTCAGAATTTCAAGTTCAATATTTAATCAATGATTTGGCCTGGCCTGGTTCTCAATCACCCTTTTTGTTACACGCGCTCATCCCCATAAGCCAAATCAACATTTCTAGATTATGTGTAACGTAAGGTGTGAAACCAAGTTTTCGATTCTCCGTGATGATCGTTCGAACAGTACCTAGTCGTGTATATTGATATGTATTGGTGGGTAATTTACCAACTAAAATTTCTAATAAAAACGATGAAACGGGGCTCTGAAAGACTTATCGGCCCGGTAAGTCACACTGTACAAATAAAACGATTGATCTCCACACACTACACAATCATAAAATGTGTTCCCGAACTATATTTTCAAGCAGCACATGTTCGTTGAGATCGTCGTAAGCTGCCAAATGTATGCATCTTAGTTCACGAATGATGCGATTAAGACTGAAATATCTTTCACCCAAAGTTGTTATTGTTTTTTTTTTAAACTTTCTTATTTTCGTCCGCCCCCGTGAGAAAATCAAAAAAGCTATTGGATTGCATGTTAAAAATCATCCAAAAACCAATAAACTAGATGTGGATGTACGGCTGATTTTTACCGTGGGTCGTGACATCTACAAACCATTTACTATTATATTTTAAATCTTGATAATACAACAGTATACTCATCTCCTCGCATTCGCACTAACTGTTGCGATGTGGCAAATCGTATTATTCAAATTGTATCGTAAAAAGAAATACTAAAATCCACGAGCGCCGTAGATTACACGTACACCTATACCTTTTTACACAGTACATATTATTGCATGTTTTAAGCAATATTACATTATTACAATAATAATAACGACTTGTTCTCCGGACACATAAATGTTTAGAGTTTCCAACGCGGCATTTTCTGTAGACTATAATAATGATGATAATAATAATAGTAATATAATATTGCATTTCACCGCCGTACAGCCGTCGCACCGGATCCATAAAAAAGTCGTATTCGTGGACCCGGTCGAGTTTGGCGAGCAAACGCGTAAAAAAAAAGGAAGAGGAACGCTCGTGCAGAGGTGGATGGCAAACGGAAAGGACGACAAGACGAAACGCTTTTTGTTCGTTGGGTATTATATAACACTATACACATTATAATGGGTATAATAATATTATATTTATATGCTATTAAAAAAAAAAAAAAAAAAATCGGTTTTACAGACCGTAAAGTGCGAACAAACATAATACATACTCATAAACATACTAATAATAATAAATAGACGATGGAGGTAATCACCCGTCGTCTTCAGTTACTAGTAGGTATATAATAGTAAAATATAATTAATACACATTGAAAAACAAAACAATCATTAAGAATTATTTACGACTGGCAATGGTGCAACTGCATGCGATGCTGCAGTGTGTGTTGCGCCGATCGTGCACACGAAAATACTTTAAACATTGTAGCATTAATTATAAAATATAATAAGATGTATTATATTTTGATGGTTATAGACTTGAAGTGTGCGTACACAGCGGAATACGTTTATGACACTACAAATTACAGGTAAACACGGATCGAAATCATATGGTCACATTGCGGAAATCCATAGAACCATCACACACTATGATTCGCGATACGTGAAAAACGAATATTATTATGCGCGAGTTGTGTTGTTGAAAAATTACAGTTATTATTTTTATACTCGTACCAATTAAAATATATTAACCTGTACTGTGAGTTATTATAATAATATGAATTTGTTGTTTGACGCATCCGTCAAATCGTCAAAACGTGTCGCTGTAGACGGTGACGGGTTCTACAGCACGTTTGGTGTTCACATGACACGTGTAATTACTAATTATACCTGTACATATTATATTATTATCGCAACGTTTTATCGTCTAAATACGTACACGTACCTATTGTAATTACAACGTATTACGGTTACCGCGTCCGGTTACACACGGTGGAACACTATTACAATAATAACATTATGTCTAAAGTAATGGATAACATTATTGTATCAAGACTGCAAAAAAAATGTTTCCGATTCGTTTAGGAATGTTAGCGTTTGAACTTTTGTAGGTAGGAACACGGAAAATTTGATTTTATCGATACCATCCTTTGGAGCAATCAGATATTTTATAAAATTGGGAAACATATTAATATAATAAAAATTATTCCAATAGTGTTTATGAATAATTATGCCACGAGATATATATGCTAAATTATAGCCGTGAAGTAGAGTAGTCGTAGGGTGTGCAAACCTCTCGTTCGGAGGAGCTATATAAGTACAAAAATACTGACAGTCATGCTCAACATGCTCCCCCCCCCCCCCCAGGGTGTCGGGTTTGAGTCATACAATCACTCGCACATCAAACATTTTTTTTTAAATTTTAATTTGCAAACTGAAATTTAAAATTTGTAAGATTTGCTAATGTCATTTTTCTTAAAAAAATCAAAAATACGTTTTCAAAGGCCAAAGTAAATACAAAGAAATAGATCACAAAAATGACGACCAATGATATGATTAACTAATTAAATATTGAAAGTAAAAATCACTATAGAAGTTTTCCAAACAAAGTATCGGATGATCTGGAGTGTGCGCCTATTATACGTGTCAATTGCACTGCAGTATAGACTGTATAGTATATCTAGGACTCGTGTGGCCGTGTATTTAAGTATTATAAAAACAGTAAGCACGTATTAATTATAACAGTGATATTACAGTAATCGTTTTTAGTGTTACGCCAGTGGTGAAAACAATATAGCAATAAAATAATAATAATTAATAATAATAATAATAAAAATAATTATAGATAAGCGACGGGGATATCGCCATGTGCTCATCGTCGCAGGTGGTTTAGGTCGTCCACGTCCGTGTAGTCCTCGCGCAACATCAGCTTGCCAGCTCCGTCCAGTCCGGTGCACGACATACCGTCTGAGCACTCAAGTCCGGCGGCGCAAGGGCACACCATAGTGTGCACGTACAGGTCGGCCGACGATCCGTCGGGGTAGGTGACGGTGACGTTCTGCGGTTGGACGTCGCCAGAGTGAGGTCTGCACGTATCGCCCTCTTCACCCAGAGGTCTGCAAGTGGGCACGCTGTATCGCATCATACCTGAAACAAAAAAAATGAATAAAAATTAGTTAAAAATCGCAGAACGGCAGTGCGTGTATTAGACTGTATTGTATATTTGCATGCGTATCAGATGATTCGATATTTGTGTTACGATCGTTTTATCGCAGTATCTGTCAATGTAGAAAAACACGTGTGCAAAATGTTTTTCGAAAATCTAAAATTATTTATACATTTTATAATTGGTTCAAATATTTTAGAGTGGGTTTTGTTTGTCATCTTTTTAAAATTTAATGGGTACCTATTTTTTTTTCAAACATTACGTGAAGATATTTTTCTCGTCAATTTTAGTGCAAATTAAACAATTTTAATTAATGCAAAACTCTATGCTTGAGAGTGATTTAAAGTTTAAATGAGTGTTTGTTGGAACCTCGCAAAATGTTGGTCTACTACTCTTTCCCTGTTAAGATAAAATCGATGCTTAACAAAAAATCGGTTATCACAATAATTGGGGTGTTACTCCGAGTGGAGTAACTGCTAACTAGTGCCCATCGAAACTTATAACTTATGATTCACTAGTTCGAAATTTGATTCTTTATGAATGATATTCTGCTTCAGAATATTAATCTAAAATGTATATTGCCATTCAAAAAGTTAAAACGATAAAAACAGTAAAATTACATTTTGAATCACCTAGTATTTTAACTGTTATATATATATATACATAGCATTATAATTACATGTTATTATTTATTTCTGGTTATAGAGACCCGTGTTTTGTAATATTAGTGTCATTGTATTAATTATTTAACCCTCAGTCGTTCAATAGAACAAAATTGGGGTATTTAAAAAAGGAAATAAAAGTATGATCGATTCCTTTGCAGATTATTTCAATTGTATATTTATTTTTTATTTAACTTTCGTCTTTTTTCATGCCACCCGTTTGGAATTGGTACTCTTTTCTCCGTTCGGTCGGTTGGCTTTCGATGTAATTGTGTCTTATAATTATTTCCGAAGTGCCTAACTTCCGTTGTTTTTATATACCATAAAATAATAAGCCTAAAAATAAATCGACCATTATTTATGTAGGACAAAATAGCAAATAATTCCATTGGTCAAAGACATTATTATATTACTGTATAATATAAGATATACGACCCAAAATACTGTGTTTATTGTGTACATTTTAAATCAAACAATTGGATTTTTATTATTTTTTTAAACAATGGGTTGGTAGGACAAGAGTATTTATGTTTATGTATACTTTATTGGCTATATATTTTTAACTTATAATAGCATACGGTATGATTATATTATATAGCTTGTAAAAATATGAAACATAGAGTCATCTTGAAAGTGGATGAGGGATGCGTGTTATTATCGAACGACCGTTACAAGGATGGACCAATGAAAACACTTCTTTTTCACCGCATCACTCATGAATATCGATAACACGCGATAACTCTTCGATGTGGTTCAATACTTTGCCAGACAAAGTTGTAAAGTTGGTCAATATAGAATATTTATTTATAATAAATACTGATTCCGACGTTTGTTATTACGATAAACAATAATACGGTCTGGGTGAGTGTAATATATACCTAATAGGACACAACACTACTTTATAACTTCGTTCAATGTTTACGTTTGTAGAGTTCAATTTATGAACTCTCGTAGACACAAACACACATTTTTTTTATCCATTGTTTTGTGCAGATTAGCGTTTTCGTTTAAAACCAATGAACGACGTCGCCACAGTTGACAGTTGATAAAAGGATAAATGTTATTATTGTACACGGCTATGATGGTATGGTATTATAATGGTGCGATTTAAACTAATACCGGTCGATCTATTTTTTTCTTCCTCTTAACGAGTGTAGTATTCACTAACGTATCGACATGGCTACTTACGCCATTATTATGGTATGATAAATAAATGATTTTAATCATTTCACAATATTGAAGACATAACTACTATGCCGTTCGAAGTATGTAATCGAATTGTATAAAATAAGATTTACATATTATTATTATAATGGTGCCTAAGTAAAGTGTAAATATCAATAAAATAATAATTTTCAGAACAAAAGTTTGACGCACATTTCCCTCAAATGTCACATATATATATATTTTACTGAAAGTCCATTAGTCCATACGAGTTTCCTTATAACTTTAAGGCATAGCAGTGTACTTCGTTTGCGGTATAGGTAAGTTAATATAATTAAATAAGTAGTAATTACGTTTCGACTTGAACGCCCAAAGTAAATATTTGTTCGAGCCGATCCGAGTAAACAGCGTTACAAATTGATTTGGGATCTTTGAAATAAATATAAAAACATGTATAGAAAATAAAGTACATTAATATTGTTAGCCGGAATAATAGGTACCTGTGCGTATGCATTACAATGTATATTATATTATGCGATGACGCAGTGAGATGATAAATTGTTCGAAATTACCGAATGTGCGTTTATTGTCACGGATATAATAATGTATTCCAAGGCAAATAAAAACTGCAGTGGGTAACGTGAAATCGTTCCCTAACACGTTTATTTTGATTCATGCAAATTTAGTTGACGATAAAATCTCAAATATAAATTTACAAACGACTGTGACGAATCAAAATAATATGAAACGGGTGTTATGCAATAATATACATTGCAATATATTATACAGTCAGCGATTTATTTAGGCATATCACGAAAACATCGTGTTTGAACACGCCAAAAAAATGTTGTAGTTCATCGTGGTCCCGGCACGTGCAATAAAATACCCCGATGTTCTGTTTGCGTGGGTATATATTTTGGTATAATTTAAAGCTGATGTGGCTTAGTATAAAAACCCATAAATGGCAAATTTCGACTTTATCTTATGGTTTTGGTGAGCAGTTAGTGATATAGATACATCGTGTATTATAATGCACAAACAAAAATATACTTTAATTAATGAATTTTAATCGGTTGGACCGTCGTGAGAACGCTGTGAGCCTATGAGTCGCGACATTATTTTTAGTCAATCGTCAGGTAATAAAAACTATATTTAAAATCCGAAGAGTTAAATTACCAAAAACCAAATTCGCCGCAGCTATGCATTGGTGAGATGGTATAACAAAAATAAAAGTTGTTATTTAAAAAACATTTTTGCTGCTTTCTCAACAATTGTGTGCTTGACAAGTTGAATGAGTAAAGGTATAGTATGGTATAGTTTCATAACTCGTTGCTTTCAAGAAGTCCGACGTGAAAGCAAGTATGTGTGTTAATTTTTACTACAGTGAAATGTTAAGTTGACAAATGATTTTTCAACAAGATAAATTTGCTCGAAATAGTTTATAACCTATAGTTTTTTTTTTATAAGTCGTGATGAAAAAAAATTATAAACTTGTCGATAAGATTCTTTTACCATGAAAAACTGATAATTTAACAAAGTCAATATATTTTTTAATTTCCTTAAATTAGTCAATATTAAAAGTTTATTCCTCTCAACCCACGTTGTGAATCGAAATGACAAGTACTGCATGGAGGGAAGAAAAGGTGATTACGGTATTTAAGTTTCATGGTGTACACGAATATAAGGTATTCAAGGGTCGGCTTAATAGGCAATAGATAGGCTTAGACATTGCTGCATCTACCCATCGAACGACAATTACATAGTCAACGAGGGGCAGAGACCGTGAATTTAAACGGTAATTTGGCGATTATATAATATTCATATTGTAATGAAGTTAGAGATCCTCGTTTATACAGTACTTTGATGTCAGGCATATAATATTGACTTAGCAATCAATCTACGAGTACATATTCCGGACAAGTACTTTTGAATTTTTTTTTTTTTTTGGATGGTGGCTCAATTATTATTAGGGTACATTTAGGAGTTATTACTCAAGTTAATTGTAGTTCAAATTAAGACAAGAAATATTTAACATATTTTCAGAGATTGTTTGTACCTACCCAATGGGTAGTACCTATATTTTCTAAATGGATCCATTTTCTTCAAGCACACAATGTACACATATTATACACTCGATATTTTAATATTCACGCATATTTTGATTGCAACTTTTATAGTTGCGTACTTATAAAGAGTATACAATAAATAATAAATATAGAGAATGTAGGTCTATGAATTCAAGCATTGACTAAGTTAAAGCTAGTTTTCACGGATTTTGGGTTTTAACTGTAACATATTATATAGTACACATATAAAGAGAGATTGATATAATAATAAATAAAATAATTTTAAAAAGTTTAACATATTGATTCAAAGAATATTATACACGAATGTATTTAATGGAAATTCGTTCTTAGAGACATATTCAGAATTTTTTCACGCTGGTTCCACGCTATTCTCCTCAAATATCAACAATATATTCTTACTGTGAAGCCATTACACCACCAAACAACCACAATATCCTTGGTTACATGATTCGTCGGTGCATTATATATACGTATAATAAGTAAAAAAAAAAATTTCAATATTTGGTACCAAAAATATTAAAACACAAATATTATTATTTATGACCATATGAAAAATGTGCCACCCTGCAACCTGCAAGGCACTAGGGGAAACTGGTGATGCTGATTGAAACTGACGAGAGGTTAACAATACGCGTATCATAAACTGGGGTGTGTTTGATATTGATATTGATATGTACATTATATTTTCATTACATTGATTTATCCAAAATGCTTGTACCTATTTATTTTGTTATCAATAATATAATATTTTTTGTTCATATAATGTTTGTGGGGCACATACCATAATTTTAAATTGATTTTAAAAAAAAAGACTTTTTCAATGCTGCCTCGATCATAGATTGATATTTTTTTTTCATGATTTCTCAGGGTTCAAAAAGTTGAATTCCTCCAGAAATGTGAAGTAACTTTAAAAAACATTTCAATTTTTTTTTAGAATTATAAGGAATTACATGAAATAATGATATACAGTTTTTGAGTTTCGTCAATGGTACCAATTAGAATCATATAATATAGTTTCAATTATATTATTATACTACACTTCAGAGCAAAAAAAATACAGTAATACAT